GGTGTTCTAATTTTGACAGCGCGAATTTCGCTGTGGTGAGTTCGCCGGCATTGTATTTCAGCTATGAGGTGGCTCAAGAAGTTGGAGAAAAAATGGAGATAGTGGATGATATAGAAAGTGTGGTGAGTAGAAGCGAAATACTTTTTTAAATGCTTTAACTCTCTTTTAATGCCTATTCAGACTGACCGCATTACTAAAGGTGAATCATGATTCAATAATACAAGGTTAGATAATTATTGACAGCTGCGGTTTAACACTCCCTTACAAAAGGTTGCATTTACGAAGGACGGAGAAAGGGGAACAATGAAATCTCTTGGTGCGAAAATGGTAGTAAAAAAGTACAAAATTAGTAGTGAAATTCCTTTTGTAAATTCTAATGTATTTGCAGGAAATCTGGCATTTTAAACGAAATGTTGAACGTAATATTGATATATCTACGTGAATTACGTAATTTATGTGCTATTTAGCTGTATAAAAACTGCAAAATGACTCAAAATTAAAATAAGACTTAAGATTAATGTAAACATTCAATTTAATAACAGTTTATGTTTTCATCAGTTAAATATGCTTCATATGCATATACAAATAAACATATTACACAAACGCTCATACTCTTATTTCACACAAAGCTACACTGTTTCCATGTAAATGTGCAAAGAAGCAACACGGTGCCACTGCTAACAGGCTAACCTAATATTCACGCACGCCGCCAATTTATTGTCAAAAATTTCTCATGCACATGCAACTTGTATGAGATCAACCGAAATTGAACGGCGTGCGTATGAAGCTAACTCAATTTCCAATTTTTGTTCTGCGTGACATTTTGATTTGACGTTTCGCTCAATGAAATCAAATGCAAACGCATGCAAGTCAATTTCGGGTGACGCAAAAAAACAAATTCGACGGCATGCGTACCAAAACGCAAGCCGCGAATATTAGGTTAGCCTGTAAGGGAGCGGTGCGAGAGAGACAACTGTCAGTTTATCGAACCTTGTATTATTGAATCATGAAGGTGAATATGCTTATTTCGATAATGAATATTTCTTGCGGTACTTACGCATGAAAGGCGCACAGCGCCGCGAGGAGCAACAAATAGCCGAAGTTGTATTGCATATTATGCACGATCCAGAAAATAAAGGTCGCGCCATTCGCGGACCGCTAACCCTCTCTTCGTCGATTTGACAGCATCCACCTAATCGCTGACGTCATAAAATACTTTTGTTTACATTCCCTGTTGCCAACTTCATGCTTTTCGCACCAAATTTAGTGGGTATTCAAAACGCGAACATTTTTGAGTTTGGTGCTTGGCCCGTTTTTGGTGCTTTTGTTTTTAGATTGAAGACACCAAATTAGAAAATCTTAAAAACATGGAATCAAAATTTATAGCAATCGTAAGTGTGGTAAGCAAATTTACAAAAAATTTAAACTAAATCATGACACAGTGACAATCATAAGCGACAACAAAATATGTGGCAGCACCTTCAATCATGCCAGAAGAAATCAACCGTCGTGCAAGAAACATTGATTTTTATTAATTTGAATCGGCATCCTTACAGTAAAATTATGTATGCATATAAAGTCTATAAAATACACCAATAAAAATTTGGTGCTTTTTCAAATTCAAAACTTGGCAATACTGCCTTTTGTCCGATGCTTCCTCTTTTTCTTGTCGAGTTCGTCTTGTTCTCTCATTCTGGTATTTATTGACGTCACGGCCAGTTGCTCTCAGCTCGATCGGCGCAATCTTGTATTCTATCATTCTTGCATATTATGCGTGAGTGTGGTATACAAATGCCAGTGTCTTTGGGTTTGGAAAAGAATTCGCCATTACAGCCGAATGTGAATAAATACTTGAGACGCATGATTCAATAATACAAGGTTAGATAATTATTGACAGCTGCGGTTTGACACTTCCTTACAAAAGGTTGCATTTACGAAGGACGGAGAAAGGGGAAGAATG